TGGATTTCAGTAAATATTCTTGACCTCTGTTCAGAGATGTAATTTATTTACTTGAAAATAGTTTGATCTTTTCAAGGCTTACTTTTGAAGTCTTTGTTAGATAAGACCTGAGCAGCCTCTAATCTAAGGCTAATTTTTCCCCACCACTGAGACAAATCCCTTTGGTATGATTTACCCAATGCTCCATGAATTATGAGATTTTCCACATCAGCTGGAGGGAACAGGTACTATTTCCATTGAGTGAGCTTCGAGGATTGTTTCCTCTGCTCCTTTCAGATGTTTTTTCCCCACCTGAGAGTTTCCTCACTCATGTGTGCTCATCGGTCCTCAGCTAACTGTCATGGGGAGCCCTCTGAAGATTTCAGAGCTCTTTCCTACAAACTAGCAGTCTTGGCCTCCCTAGACTCCCCAGTCTGCCGGCTTAGCTCAAGGAAACAGCCAGATTCAGTCTGGATTCCTCCTGCCTTCAGCCTGGAAACCACAGGCAACATGCTGGGGCAAATGTAGAGCCCAGATGGCTTATTTTCAGTCTTTCTGGGATTACTGTCCCATGCTGCTTGACGGCCAATGTTAAAACATCATTGTTTCATAGGTTCTGCCCAGTTCTTTTGGTCATTAAACAAAGGAAGGTATATATCAGCAAAATGAAAAGGCGACCTAAGAAATGAATATATTTGCAAATCATATATGTTATAAGGGATTCATATCTAAAATATATAAAGAGAAAAATATAAATAAAATACATACAGGGTTCATACAACTCAATAGAAAAATATCATATTTGAAAATGGGTGTAGGATCTGAAAAGACATTTTTTCTGAAGAAGGCATACAAATGGCCAACAGCTACATGACGAGGTGCTCAACATTACTAATCATCAGGGAAATACAAATTAAAACCACAATGAGATATCATTTCACAATGAGATATCATATCATTTAGAATGGCTATTACCAACACGAGAAATAACAAGTGTCAGTGAAGATTCAGAGAAAAGAGAACCCTGGTGCACGTTGGTGAGATTGTAAATTGGTGCAGCCACTATGAAAAACAGTATGAAGGTTCCTCAAAATATTAAAATAGAGCTACATTATGATCCAGCAATTCCACATCTGGGCATTTATCCAAAGGAAATGAAGCCACTATCTTTAAAAGATATGTGCACCCCCATGTTTATTGAAGCATTATTTACAATAGCCAAGACATGAAAATAACTTAAGCGTTTATTGATGGATGAATGGATAAAGAATAGACACACCCAGACAAACACACACGGAATATTATTCAGCCATAAAAAGAAGAAAATCCTGCCAGCCTGAGAACATGGATGGACCTTGAAGGCATTGTGCTAAGTGAAATAAATCAGAGAAAGACAAATACTGTATCATATCACTTATGCATGGAATCTTAACAAAGAATAACAAATGCATAGATACAGAGAACAGATTAGTGGGGGTAGGTGAAATGGGTGAAGGTGGTCAAGGGTACAAAATTCCAGTTATAAGGTAAATAAGTCCTGAGGATGTAATATACAGCATGGTGACTATAGTTAACAATACCGTGTAGTCTATTTGAAAGTTGCTAAGAAATTGGATCTTAAAAGTTCTCGTCGCAAGAAAAAAATTGCATAACTTTGCATGGTGATGGATATTAATTAAACTTATTGTGGCAATCATTCTACAATATATACAAATATCAAAATCAGTATGTTGTACATCTAAAACTAACACAGTTCTATATAGCAATTATATCTCAATTTTGAGTAATATTCCATTGAGTATATGTACCACAGCTTCTTTATCCAATCATCTATTGTAGGACACTTCGGTGCCCCATGATGAGAGTACACACCACTACATATGAAGTAGTCTTGCCCCAAACTGAATTTGAATCTGATCAAACCTCTAGATCCACCTCCAATTTACAGGACAGAGGAACACTTTAAGTGAGACCACAGGGATATATAATCAGCCAACTCCAGACTGTAAGAAACTGTAAGACAAAAAAAAAGTGGAAAGAGGATATGCAGGGGAAACATGTTTATTAAAATAGACTTAAAAGATATGTCAACATATCACATATGGACTTTATGTGATTCCTGCTTTTAAACAAATACATTGTAAACATAACATTTGTAAAACAATTGGAGATTTGAACACTGATGGACTATTTGATGACAAAAAAATCTTGTTAAAATTTTTTTAGCTATAATAATAGTTTTGTAGTTACTTTTTAAAAAAAGAATATCTTTTAGAGACATATTAAAATATTTACAAGTGAAATAATTTGACCTTGAATTTGCATCAAAATATTACAGCAAGGAATCTGGATATGGGTATAGATGAAACAAGATTGACCATAAACTGGTAATTGTTGAATCTCATTTTACTATTTATTATTTTCCATACTTTATTTTTGCCTTTCTGAAAACAGCTTGTATAATTTACATGTCAATACAATTCACCAGTTGTAAATGTACAATTTAATAATATTTTGTAAATTTATAGAGTTGTGCAATCATCACTACAATCCAGTTTTAGAACATTTCCATTACCCTCAGAAAGTTTCCTTGGGCCCTCTGTAGTCAATGTCCACTCCCACCCCAGCCTCTCCTGGTCTGCTTTCTATCTCTCTAAATATACTTTTTTTGGACATTTCTTTTATATGGAATCATACAATATGTATTCTTCTGATAGTCTCTGTTAGTTTATAAGTTTGACATTTTTCCATAACAAAAACAATTTTGTTGACTTAAACGATGACTTACATTTGTATAGTACTTTGTGTTTTTGTAAAGTGCTTTCACAAACCACGTGATTAAGAGGATAACATTTCTCACCAATTTTACAGATAAGAAAATTGAGGCTCAGAGAGCTTAAGGGACATGACCGAGGTCATAGAGCTAATTAGTAACTGAATTAGGATTCCATTCTGGCCTCCTGTCACCTGGTGAGATATTTCCCCCATCATGCTAAACTGCCCACCGCCCTATTCCCCCATTGCATCACTTGGTGCCCCATTCCCTCAACTATTGAGCTGGGAGGTCTGAGCTGCAAATCTCACCAACAGTGGATATAGAACCAATCTCAGGGAGTTGTTTACCATCTGGAGAAATAGATGAAATATCCCCTCTACTCTTTCTCCTTCAGCCCAAGGTGAAGAGGGAAGGCCAGCCACATCAAAGGTGTAGACTCAAAGGAGATGGAGGTTTAAGACAAAGAGGCAAAATCAAGATGCTCTGTGTGTATATGTGCATGTGTGTTCCTTACCTGTGGGAAGAACTGGAGGGAAGGTGTGAGCATGGATAATGAAGTTGAAGGAAGTTGCCCATCAAGTCATCTGGGGAATGGTCCGTGTCTCTGTGGTTGGGCCCATCAGTGGACAGAAATATCCTGAAGTCTCTTTGCCTTCTCTTCGTGTCTTTGCATTTTAAAAAATTATTATTGTGCCTGCTCTGTCACCCTATATTTTGGGATTTTAATAGTTATCATTCAGGAAGAATTCAGAAGAAACCTTGGATGATGCTTTCCTCTAAGGAATGAGATTGTGTTTTCAGGTCTCACTTCCTACTGCATACCCTCTTGTTCTATTAAATTTTTTGTTGTCCTATATGTGTGTTATTTTCATAACAAAATGAAGGGGAAATCATTATTAGTGGCAAGTGGTGTGTTTGTCTGTCTTCCTGAAGATCCTGCTTCTATCCTACTATAGGGCTTAGCAGACTGCAAAGTGCTGTCAAATGCAACTTCTCATTTAATCCATCTTTCATTCAACAAATATTTGATGTTTCCTATGTGCCAGGCACAGTTCTAGAAGTGGGGGATATAGCAGTGAACCAACCAGACAAAAATTGCTGCCTTCCTGGGGTCTTACGTTCTACTAGGTATAGAAAGATATACACAAACATAATAAATTGTACGGTACATGAGAAAAGATAAGGCCGGGAAGGATGATAAGCAGTACTGGGGACAGGAGGCTGCCCTATTGAAGAAGGTGGTCAAGGACGGTGACATGTGAACAAAGACTTGGAGGAGGTGAGGGAGCCATCCAGGGAGCCATCTGGGACCAAAAAAAGAAAAAAAAATGTTCTAGGTAACAGCAAATGCAAAGGCTCTCAAGCAAAAACATGGCCAGCAGGCTTGAGGAACAGCCAGGAAGCCAGTGTGGCTGCAAGGAAGTCAGTGAGAGTAATGGAGCTGAGGTTAGAGAGGTAAGAGAGTGACCAGAGCATGTGGGCCTGGTGGGCCACTGTGGGATTTTGGTTACCCTAAATGAGAAAGGAGCCATTAGAGGATTTGAGTAGTGAAGGTCATGACCTAATTAATTTATTCACAAGGTCACTCTGTCTGAGGAGTGGAGACCAGACTGTGTAGTACTGAAGTGGGGAGCCTGTGAGGAGACTGTTAAGAGAGGTGTTGGCGGCTCGGACGAGCGAGCATGGCTGCCATGGAGATGGTGGGTGGGCGTCGGAATTTAAAAATCTTTTAGAAAGAAACAACAGGAGTTGCCGATGGATTGGATGTAGAGTTTGAGAAAAAGAGAAGACTCAAGAATGATTCCGAGGTTCTGGGCCCGAGCAGCTGGGAAAACGGAGTTGCCTTTGACTGGCAAGGCGAAGACTGGGGAGCAGCAGAGAGAGAGGCGGGTTAGGTGGGGAGGACCATGAGACCCTCCGGGACAAGTTCGAGTTCAGAAGTCCAGGGGCAGTGGGTTCACATGGGTGTCCTCACCCATCCTCCCAACTCCTCCGCATTTCACAGGTGTAAGCACTCGGGCACCAGAGCCCCGCCCCGGCCCGCCCGCCTGG